TAGGTTTGGCTTCAAGATTTGTTGAATCTGCTGTAGCTGAAGTTTAAGTCTCACAGGGGTTTTGGCCAGTTAGTATTTGTTTTGACCCCACTGCTGACAAGACAGTTTAATTTTATTACTTTATTACAACTTTGAGTTTATTTATTATACCTTTAAATTATTTTAACTGTGAAAAAAAATTCCAGACACATAATTTTTGCTTTAGTAGCTAGCTGTTCCCTGGGAATATGGACAAGAACACATAGTAATATTGGACCTTAAAATTTTAAAACTGATTTTCCAGGAAGACTTGGAATGATAATGATTTGCCTTGTCCACATTTAAGAATGTACCTATAGGAGGAGGTAGAGAGAAGGCTTTGTGTCTTTTCCTAATGGATGCATAATTTAGAATAAGGTTAAAAATGTAAGATAAGAAGAACGATACGGTTCCAGGGATTAGAATTCTAACAGGAAAATATTAATCATCTATTCATTTGACAGCTACTTACTGGATATTTATTAAATGCTCAGTGCTGCACTAGGCAATGAAAGCACAAAAATAAATGAAACAATTTTACTTTTTAGCATATAAATGATGATACTCAGGTAATCTTTTAGCAAAGCGAACTGTAAAGACAAGAGAGTATTTTTTGAATAATCTACTTCAGAACCTATTTTCTTACCTATTGTCCTATATACTGATAAACAAAAATGAGCATATTATAAACAGCAATTTATTTCTAGTCTTTTTCTCATTTCCCTTTAACATTAAATTTGGGTGCTAAATTGAAGACAAACATCATTGAAATTTATGTTCTGAACCCAACACAACTCAAATAAGTTACTTGGGCTTTCTTTCTCTTTGTTTCTTGAGGTTGGTAGCAAATCATGGCAGTTTCTTTGATCAAAATACTGTTATGCAGGTCCAGCTCTGAGACTTTGCGGCAGCTCAGAGAATCCTGTATTAATTGCATGCTGTTTTGGACTTTGCATTTCCCTTTACAATCTGTGGACAGTGATTGGGAGAGGCCAATAAAGTAGGGCTGAGTCAGGAAGAAGAAGGAAGCTGAGACTAAAAGCATGGATGAATTTGATAGGTCATGGTGATAATATGCTTCAGAGATTGATGAAACAACCTACCCTTAAACTCTTGCTTCATAAAGCCTAATTGGAAACCTCTACATTAGAGTTAAACATCTGGATCAAAAGTTCCTATGTGTCCTTGGTTCTTCCTCTTTCCTTTTTATACTTTTATTGATTTTTTCCCATTCCATTTGAATGTGCTTGGTAGCCTTCAAATTGGGATATCTCACACTTAGACTTTGCCCGTTTGTTTAAGTTATCATCATCATCATCATCATCATTTTATGATAAAATTCCATAGGCTCTGGGATTTGCTTTATCCCCTCCTCAAAATCTTCCCCCTACTGAGTTCCCCTATATTATTACAATAGAATAGTTATTCATAGTCGTAAGTCCATCATTGCTGGCATGGACAAGGCAGAGAGTCCAATAACTTTTGTCAAGATGTATTTCACAGTTTCATTGAGATTCCATCTTTGATCTGGAAGTACAGCAGATGAATACTGCATTGTAAATGAAAAGCCAGAAAACAAAATCAACAACAGGAAGAAAAACAGAAGTTTACAATGCCATGAAGTTAAACAACATGCTACTGACTATGGTAGTCTCTTATACATTTACTATACATACTCTTAAATGAAAAGCCATGAAATAAAATAAAAAATGGAAGAAAAAATGACAGTTATAATGCTATGAAGTTACATAACATGTTACTGAATGACTAATGTGTCACTGATGAAATGAAAAAAAAATCAAGAACCTTCTTGAAGAAAATGATGCTACTGTATGATCTATGAGTCAGTAAAGGATTTAATAAGAAAGTGTTTTGAAGGCATGAAACTTAAAAAAAAATCAGAATCCATGAGATATAGTTTCTGCTGATCTTTGTTGGTAAGATATGGCTTCTGTAGACAACAAATAGCTGTTTTTTTTTTTTTAACCCTGAATGTAAATGGCTTAAATTCATCAATCAAATGTTACAGAGTAGTAGACTGGATTAAAAAAAAACAAGAGTTTACCCTTTTTAAAATGTCTGTATACCCACAAGGGAAGAATTCTTATTACTCTTAGATTGTTCGTAGTCAATGATTTTTGTTTCGTAACAATCAACAGCATACATTGCTATTAGCAGATACTCAAAGTAGACAATTACAAAAACATCACGAAGGGAGAAATTTATTTTTAACCTAATGTTTTTGAAAGAGCAGTCATGATATACATATATATTTGTGTGTGTGCACACATATATATGCATATTTGCCAAGAATTACGTGATATTGGTGATTTATTTATTGATTTATTTCCTGCAGTGAGTTTCCTAATGACATTTAACCTTCGTCACATTTAACCTCAACATTTGACCTTTGTGATATTTAGCCTTGATGAGAAGGCAGAGCAAAGATCCAGGGCACGCAGGTATTAGCTTGTATTAGCTTCTGTGCTCTCTTCCGTCTGCCTTCACCAGCAGGGCAGATGCATACCCAAGCCTGGCAGAGCCAGCGGGCTACCTTTGTCACAGTAGGTAACAAAGGAGGAGCAGATGCCTCTTGTAGTGACGAAAGATAATATTTTGAGTTGAAAGATAAATAATTGAAATTCCCAGTCTCTAGTCTTTATTTACTTCTTGTTTTTTGAAAAAAAATCACTCTGCATTTGTTTTCAGGGTCAGCGTCTCAGGATTCTGTCAAAAAATGCTAAAATGAGCAAAAGTTTAGCAGAGTGATCCCACATTGTCTCTATTCCAAACTGCAGTTTTTTATTTATACTGTTCTTCAGTTTACCTTCCTAACTTAAGCAAAATAAGTATCTGTTTCTTTCTACTCTTAGTTCACTTATGTGCTCTTTTTTTTTTTTTTTTTTTTTTGAGAGAACAGATTGTCTTGAGACAGTGCCTTTAGTCATGGAAGAAAAAACAAAGTGGAATTTTCAGGAAAATATATAAATAAAAGGAAAACAATAAAAAGAAAATAAAATACACACACAATATATAATTAGATGGAGATGAAGTGTAGGGGAGACCAATGTCACAGTGCACCACACTAGAATGGTCTTTGTCTACTGCTGCTCATCCTGGATTCATTCGTGAGATAGCTGCTCTCATCTGGTTCTCCAGCAATGAATTTTTAAATTTTTTTATTATTTTCCATGATACAGTTTTGTAAGTATAGGAACTCTCCCCTCCTCTTCCCTGTTGTCCCCCTGCCACCTTTTCCTCCCAAATTCTTTTCTTTTTCTTTTTTTTTATTATTAGTAAGTCAGATATATAGAGAGGAGGAGAGACAGAGAGGAAGATCTTCCATCCACTGATTCACTCCCCAAGTGGCCACAATAGCCAGAGCTGAGCCAATACGAAGCCAGGAGCCCAGAGCTTCTTCTGTGTCTCCCACATGGTTCAGAGTCCCAAGGCTTTGGGCCATCCTTGACTGCTTTTTCAGGCCACAAGCAGGGAGGTGGAAGGGAAGTGGGGCTGCTGGGATTAGAATCAGCCTCCATATGGGATCCTGGTGCGTGCAAGTTGAGGACTTCAGCCACTGTGCCGGGCCCTTTCTTCCACATTCTTACAGTAGTATTGTCTTTTAGTAACGGTTACAAGTTTAGTGTTCTATTTATGTGCAACATGGTATTACAGGTATAGACAAAGATAGGAAGTATAGTATCATATTGTCAGTCAATGAATTTGTACAACTAGCACCAAGATTCTATCACTCCTAGGTAGCAGTGCCTTTTTTCACAACAGAAACTTGGAGAATGCTTGCCATTGGCCAGCAGCACCAATCTGGCTCTTCTTATGAAGTGTTTCCTAGAGCAGAAATTCCACTGCAGGGATAGTGTGAACTCTTGAATTGAGGAGTTAAAGAAAAATTGCCTCTGGCCTGTTAGTTGGTGATCTGCTTGGGAGCCTGTGTCATTTACATTCCTAATCAAAGCTCAAACCCAGGGAAATGTTTGTATGAAAAGCCTCACAAGAACCAGTTTCTGGATTCCATTTGCTCAGAAGAAATTTCATGTGCAAATCCCTAATTCAGATGTGTGACCCACTTTTCATTAACTCTTCCCCAAGAGGGTTGGCAAGAAATTATCTGCCTTCAATGCAAGGAGACTGACTTGCCTAGATTGTTGATTTGCAGCTTAGTGAGCTGCATGAGAGAAGTCCGGATCTAAACAATACGATGAATAATGTGTAGGTAAGTGGGGATGGTGATAGACTGCATGAGGGAATTCAACGATGATCAAAATTCATGTTCAGGGAAGTAGGGAACAAGAACACTGAAAGATTAGCTGCCTTGTTGGCTATAATAATATGCTTTACTGGGGGAAGTTGCATTAGTAGGAGGAAATGAGACATGGAGTTCAAGACTAAGAAAAAAGTGGAAATAAAAAATAGGGGTAATAAGCATCAGGAAGATAGTTGAGGTGTGAGGGATAAATTAGATCAGTGCGCGAGAACATAGAATGAAAAGAAAGGCTGAGTTGATCCCATGTCTACAACCATCCATGACTACTGGAAAGTCCATGTGTGCTCTGTGCTGACCTATTCACAATATGGTGCATGACAGCCTCTTCAGAGCCTGTGGTTTCACCAGCATCAACCTTCCACAGAATAACTTATTAACTTGCCGGGTATCTTCCCATCCATCATAAGCCAAAACATGTCCCCCGGCAAATTCAAGTCCTCACAAGCAAATGAACAATGAGACAACCAGTAAAGGATGTTAACCAACATTTCCTTCTCTCCAAGGCCCTACAAAAGACCTCAGCTAATAATAATAATATGAACAAGACAGAAGCAGAGAGTCCATGATGTCCTCTGCAAAGGAATCCATGTCCTACGAATGTACATGAAATTCCTTTACCTCAAAGTTCACTGCCCAAGCCCTCTTCACCCCCTCAGTTTTAGCATAGAGAATGGAAGGCAGATTTCCAGGGAAAACTCACCCTGGGGTCTCTTTCCAGCTGTTGCTTGTGATGTAGGCTGCGTCTTCTCTTGGCCTTTGCAAGACCATTGTGATAGAAGTGGTATAGACCTTCAGTGAAGGGGAGCTGTGGAGAATCAGACACAAGGTATGATTAATTTCTGGGGCTGCACCAGGCACAGGGGCAACTAAGCTGGGTCTGCACAGGATTAAACTCCTGCATATTTGGCCCTCTGATTACCTAGCAGAGTACTTTTTTTCTTCTTGCTTGCTTACTGGTTCTCATCTTCTATTTATTCCCTCATTTTTAGTTTCTACACACCCTTTGAGTACTGCATCTTTTCTCTGAACTCTTATGTTTATATCCATGTTAATATGGCATTGTCCACTCTTTTCTCTTCGACTAGTATTTGATTACTAAAGAATTATTCTGCTGGGCCCAGCGCAATAGCATAGTTGTTAAAGTCCTCACTTTGCATGCGCCAGGATCCCATATGGGCGCTGGCTCTAATCTCGGTGGCCCTGTTTCCCATCCAGCTCCCTGCTTGTGGCCTGGAACAGCAGTCAAGGATGTCCCAAATCCTTTGTACCCTGCACCCGCATGGGGGACCTGGAAGAGCTCCTGACTCTTTCATGCCAGGAGATGAAGTCCGTGATGCCAAGTGCTACTCTGGTGGGAGAAAAGCAGCTAATAGCTGGTAGGCATCCTGGACCTGCTTTAACACCAAATTTATGTTAAATATACCAGTGTATCATCCTAGTTGCCAATTCTATTCTTTTTTTTTTTTTAAGATATGTTGGTGGTTAAGGGCAGATACTGGCACAACAGTAAATTGGGTCTGGGGCCACAGGTAGGCACATAGGACACCAGGGTGGCACAGCACACTGCTGGAGGACTGGGTTTCAGATCTGTGCATTTGAGTGCATGGGGTTTGTGGATTGCTCAGGGAAGGAGGTCTGGGGATTTGTAGGAGGGAGGATTGCTGAGGGAAAATGTGACAGGTGAGGAATGATTTCCAACAACCAGGCTACTGCACTTACAGATAAATGAAAAGGCAAGACCGGGTGGTTTGGAGGAGGAAAACTGGAGGGCCTTTCAGGGCCAAACCAATATACCCACCTATACAGGAGATCTTAGCTGGGCTTGTTAGTACCAACCACACATGCAAGCCATTGCTGGGGAACCTGTCTGGCAAGGCTCTATTATAGTATCTGCCAGTAAGTGTTGGAGCAGGGTAGGATCATGTCAGTCTGGGCCATACGCAGCATGCAGTAGAGCTGGGTCTGGGAGCAGATTCTCTGGGGAATTGTGGGCTTACCCCTGTGGGACTGCAACTCCATCTGGCTTGCTCAAGGGCTGGGAGTTGTGACTGTTCAAGCTAATCATGACCATGGAACTCATCATCATTCATAGGTACTAGGGTTGGAAACAGGCTGGGCTGGAACAGGCTGCAGCACCCACAGGTGCATCTAACAATTGGGTGTGGGGCAGCCAGGCTGCAAAATCCACCAGCACCCACAAAGGCTGACATTGGGGGTTAGACTGTGTCAGGTAAGGGCCTAACCAACTGCTGGCACATATGAAATCTGGGTATGGGAGTGGGTCTGGTGAGGGAAACGTGGGGAACTCACCTGGTGGGCCATAGCTCCCACTGGTGAGCATGTAAGTCAGCTGGGTATTGGTCAGGCAAGGAAGGACTGCCTCACTCCTTGACAGGTGTGCGGGTTGGCTCTTGAGGGGTGGATTGGTCAGAATGAGGTCAAATTGGCACTCACTGACATGTGCAAGAGCCAGGATGGGGTGCAGGCTCTGCTGCACCAGGTGAGGCTATCACACCTACTGGTTTGTATGAAAGGCAAGAATGGGCAGGTGGGGCAGGGGTAGGCTACAGCACTCACTGACAAAAGTTGGGACTAGGGGAAAACCAGGCTTTATCATCTATGCAAAGGTCAAGCTGGGTGATGGGTCATGCCAGGAAGAATTGGAGCAATCACGAGCATGAGCAAGATCTGTGACTGGGAGCCAGCTTGGTCAGGGAGCTAAGAAGACAGCCCAGCTGGACTGCAGTTCCCATTAGTGAGTGACAGAGTTGCAATGGGGATGGTGAACTGGGCTGGGCATGGCTGCAGTATCCTTCGGCATGGGTGTGGACTGGGTCTAGGGTGTGCCAGACTCTGCTAGGTTCCAGTACCTACTGGTGCTTATGAGAGCCAGGGTAGGTATAGGACAGGCTGGGCTAGGTCTTGGCTCCTGCTGAATCACGGGAGAGCTGGGTCTGTGGGCGGACCACGTGTGTCTGGGCTGTAGCACCCAGCAGTAAGATATGGAATGGGTGTGGGTTGATTGGGTAAGGCCACTGTACCTGCCAAGACAGGAGGTGGGCCAACTCAGACTAGGCCAAGCAACATCTTGTGTGTGCAACATGTGTCTCTAGGTGGTGACCTGATATAAGAGCTTGGGGAATTGCAAATAAATCTGCCATATGACCCAGCTATCCTGCTCCTAGGAATATACCCAATAGAAATGAAATCTGCATATGAGAAGGAGATATGTAATCCTGTATTCGCAGCAGCACAATCCACAATAGCAAAGACGTGCATCCAAAGAAGAGTGGTTAAAGAAATTGTGGTACATCTACTCCATGGAGTATTATTCAGCAATTAAGAAGAATGCAATTATGCTATTTACAACTAGGTGGTCCCAACTAGAGAGCATTATGCTCAGTGAAATGAGTCAATCACAAAAGAACAAATATCATATGTTTTCTCGTATATAAGGAAACCAGCATGGAAAGTGTAACTTCAGTAATCTGATCCATACTTTTTTTTTTTTTTTGGCTGCATCCCATGTGTTTTGATGTCTTTATTTCAGTTTTATTTATTCCAAATACTTTCCTTTCTCTTGTCAAAATAATTTCTGTCTCATGGATTACTTGGTGGCATCATTTTTCCCAAGAGACTTTTGTATTTCCTTTTTGTCACCCATGTGTTGGTTTTGGTTACTCAGTGGTGCATCTTTTCATGGTGCTGTAATTCATTGTTGTTGTTGTTGTTGTTGTTGTTGTTGTTGTGGAGGCTGTTGTTCTAACTCATACCAGTATTTGACCTTGTTTCATGGCTTCTCAATTATGGAAATATATAATGATGGAGTACTGGGGTCTATCATATACAGATGTGGGGGTATAATGCAACCTGCATCCCTGCTTCCAGATAGAAGATGGATTCCCAATGAAACTTTTGGACATGTGTAGACAATGGGATGCTAGATTGTCTGACATTGTAGCAGAATGTTGGCATTCTGCCTGTGCCCTGTGTGAATTTCTCCTCCCTAAACTTGATAAGCAGGATAAAAATTTTATTCTGTAATTGATTCATTGCTCAGCAATGTATAATAAGGAAAAACTAGTTGCCTAAAAACATGTTAGTGTCTCAGTTTTGACAGATGTACCAGCTGTAAACTCTGTAACGGTATGAGTTCTGTCTGTCAGTTTGTGAAGGCAGCCTGGGTCAGCTAAACTAGAGGCAGTCCAGGGACAACCCTAGTGCACTGGAAAGGACCTGCAGTCAGCAGGTACCAAGTGGACTTCAAAGGCACAGCCAAGATAGCTAAGGGAATAGTGTGTGGATGAAAAGTCATTTAGAAAATTGTAGCTTTTGTGATTTAGGTGCTCTTCATGAAAAAGCAAAGCCTCTAGAGAACATTTAGTGCAAGTATTTTATGTAAATTTTCCAGGTTCAGTGATTCTTAAATGTTTTCCCTATTTAACTCACTGATACACTTAGGACAATATTAAAATGTAATAAAAGAAACAAAAAGATTTGATAAAAAAAGAAAAAGTGGTGGAAGGGAAAGAAAACAGATGAGCAGCCCTCTGCAGTCTTCTTTCAGGTGGTTTGGAGGGCATGATAAATCTAATATTTTTTTTATTTATTTTAAAAAAGATTTATTTGTGCTTACTGGAAAGGCAGATTCAGAGAGAGAGAGAGAAAGAAAGATAAAGAACTTCCATCCACCGGTTCACTCCCTGAGTGACTGCAATGGTCAGAGTTGAGCTGATTCAAAGCCAGGAGCTTCTTCCAGGTCTCCCACTAGGGCTTAGGGTCCCAAGACTTTGGGCTGTCCTCAACTGCTTTCCCAGGCCACAAGCAGGGACCTGAATGGGAAGTGGAGCAGCTGTGACACAAACTGGTGCCCATATGGGATCCTAGCACTTGCAAAGCAGAGAATCGGCCAATTGAGTCATTGCACCAGGCCTAAATCCAAAAATTTTAATGCTAGAGGGGATCTTTGGGGTATTAAATGCCAGTGGGTATTTGAGGGACCCATTTGACCACTATTTTGGTTTTGTTTAGTTGATATTTTATACATTAAGTTTGGATGAAGGAAAAGTGAAAACTCTTCCTTATAGTTGAATTCCAATTAATAAGTATAGAAGTAAAGGTAAAAATTGGCTATATTCAGTTATGAAGAAGTGTAATAGTACTGGTGGCTGGCAAACCATACCAGTGGATGCTAACGTAGGATTTTATCTGTACGGTGGATAAGCCTGGTAGAGATTGATTTAATCAAGTGATCTAATGGTGGGATGTGCCAAGTTTGAATGCCTCAAGATAAGATGCACTCAGAAGGATACAGCATCCCTGATATGGTTTTGTTGCCAAAATAAAGCAATATGTATTCATTCAGGCAGAAGCATTAAGTAAACTGTTAACTTTCTGGTACTCTTTAGAGTCATTGTGTTCAAAAAATAGAAAAAAGGGACTATAGAACTTTTCCCAACTAGAGGAGACAAAGAAGCTATGATCATTAAATATGTAAAATGTACATCCTGGATGATCCCTATATCAATAAGAGGGCATTGTTAGGACAATTGGAAAATTTAGAATAAGATACACAAATGAGTTAATAGCCTTATGTCTCTGTTTTCTATTTTTTGTAATTGCACTATTGTTATACAGTATGCTAACTTAGAGAAGCTTGAATGAAGGACATATGGAAACTTGTGTCTTATTTTTAAAGGATTTTTATTATGATATAATGTATATACTTCTTAATCTTGTTTAAATGTATAGTTCAGTGGTATTAAGTAGTGTCCAGCTAACACCACGATCCATATATAGACTTTT